CCATCAGCAAGAATGTAACTGATATCTGATTCACATAGATGATTTACGTGTTAAGAGAGAGGGAAATATATCAAGGAAATAGGTAACATTGCTGTACGAGAATTTCATAATTCATATTTTCCTTCTTTAAAATTGTTTCTGAAGCAGTTAATCGTTTTATATTTTACAGGATATACAAATTACAACTGAAAGATGTGGAAAATATTTGAGCACGAGTCCCATATACCAAAACAAGAAAATATGTCCATATCAACATGTGTCCGGAAACATTGAAATTGTGAGTTACGGCCGAAGGACTACTGTGTAGACACCAGCAGCGGTTCTGCATTAATGTGTGACAGGGATTGCTGGCGATTGTTTGGTAGGCCCCATGTTTTGCCACATCGGCTTGCAGGCAACCACTACCGAGATTTCCTTTCACATGATCTGCAGAAGCTACCGGAAGATGTACCTCTGGCAGTCAGAGCGCGAATGTGGTACATGCAGACGGTACTCCGGCACATGTTAGCTGTGCTGTGCGAGATGTTCTCAGTAACACGTATCGTGACAGATGGACTGATAGGGGGAGGACCCATTGCATGGCCTCCACGCTCGCCGGACTTGAACCCTCTGTAGCTTCATCTGTGGGGACACCTAAAACCCTTGTGTATGCAGCTCCTGTTCATAACGAACAGACACTTCACCATCGCAGTGTGGATGCCTGTCAGACTATCGGCCACTGCCCCGGCATCTCTGAACAGACGCGGCGGTCCATGAGGAGACGTGTCGATGCGTGCGTAGAATCTCATGGAGGACATCTTGAGCACGTACGTAATGTACTCTTTCAGCTGTAACTAACAAATTAAATGTTTCCGGACACACATTGATATAGATTTTTTTTCTTGTTTTCTTATGTTGAATTCGTCCCCAAAATTTTTTCCTCACGTTTCTGTTACACACTGTATATGAGGCCCAATCCTTTATAATGCATTTATCTACACAAGATAAAGCAACATAAACAAATTATGAAGTGCAAGCATAGCATAACATTTCTGGCGCATTCGCTCCATTTTGTTTAATCGTCTCGCAAACGGTAACACATAAGTAAAAAGGTATTTGATATAACGCATACGTTTCATTTCTCTCGACATCTTTTGTTCTAAATATTTTTTTTTTTCAAATTCGATGACTGTATGGTTAATAATGCTACAAACATGCGGAGAAATGTCTCCATGTGAAGAGTGGGTTCAAACACGTAACAATTCGACAAATTTTAATAAATCTCACAACTTTATGAGAATGGGTTCTCGAGTATGAGAGAGAGGAGAAATGCGTATAGGATATTGGTGGGAAAGCCAGATGGAAAAAGACCACAGGAAAGACCAAGGCGTAGATGGCTGAACAATATTAAAATTGATCTTAGAGAGATAGGCTAGGATGGCATGGATTGGATTAATCTGACTCAGGACAGGGGTCAGTGCAAGGCTCTTGTGAACACGATAATGAAACTTCGGGTTTCATAAAGTGCTGGGAAGTTCTTGAGTAGTGTTACTTGGGGGCTTCTCAAAAAGGGCTCAGCTCCATGAGTGAGTGAGTGAGTGGGTGGGTTCTCGAGTTGATAATTGCGAACAGGCAGATATGTCGGCGTTAATTTTCTCATTTCTGCAACTTGTCTTTGCTAACGCAATAAGACGCACACCTTTCCCAGGTTAACTAAATCAGTAAGACTGAGAAAGGCGGCAAAAGTGATCCACAATGATGGAACAAGAAACACATACAAATTTTTGACAGGAAGATGCATGAGAAAATACGTCTTAATAGGCATTGGCAGATGAGAATGCAATAAAAAAGACTCCGTGGCTTTATTCCGCAAACGAACAATACCGACCGAGCGACCGCCGCTTGTCGGTGAAATTAGTGCCAAATTTAGCGGATAGAGGGTGTCGTGTGGGCAGCGCAACGGATCCCACAGGGGTTAATTTCGGTTTTCTAGGCCAGAAGAATGTAATAATTAACAAATATTAAATAGGTGGACGGACTTACGTTGCGACATATTGGCAAGATTTTGTATGATTCTGACGTTGCTTCGAGCCTAGGAAATTTCTTCATCGCTTCCATAACTCATAGGAAATGCTCTGCATCAATGAGTGAGTTCGCCGATTTCTGTCAGCTAATTAGATATTTCGTGAGAGAATTAGCCTGTTAGGCCGACCACAGTGGTCTCGCGGTCTAAGGCATGAACTGCCTTCTCTCCCTCGAAACCTAGGATATTGGGTTCGAATCCCACTCACGCTATGGATGTCTGTATTATGTGCTTTTATTGTGTGTTTTTGTTGTTCTGTGAGTAGGAAATAGCGTAGGTGCTTGAGGCACTATACTACAAGCCGGAAGGTCGTGAGTTCGAGTCCCGATGAGGTGGACATCTCAATTGACCTAATCCTTCCAGCCGCACTATGGCCCTGGGGTCCACTCAGCCTCTAACATAAATGAGTACCAGGAATATTCCTCGTGGTAAAGGGCGGCCGGCGCGTAAGGCTGACCTTACCGGCATCTGTGAGCCGCTTGTTTAGAAAATGCGGGAGCTTCAACATCTCACAACCCTATTTGCCTTCACGGCCTATTACAGGGCTAATTTTACCATTTTTTATACATCCACTCCCGCATATGCCTTCGTGGCGTAGTGCTAAATTGATAAAGCACAGGAACCGCTTTACCTTGTTAAGAACTAACTAACAAACTCCATGGAGCCGAGACATTGAGAAGCCAACAGTTGATCAGCCACTCAATAAATTCCTAGCATTTCGTGGAAACTGAAGGTTCATTACCGAGATCACAAGAGCCGCCTCTAATCTGTATCCATATTATTATATTTATTATTATTATTGGAGGGGGTGGGTTCCCCATGCACCGCGACCAGTGGTCTATTGTACGCCCCCCTGTGATATTCTACCAGTCTCTATACCCTACCGATACTGGTGCGTGCCATCAGTCCCGATTCAGCCAGCGAGTTTGGCCTCTACTGGCTCATCGGTATCTAGAAACTTCCCCCATCTACCAGAGGCATTAGAGACTATTGTTGGGCGGGAAATGTCCTTTATAATTTGGCTCAGAGGCCTCCTTGAGGCATGAGGTTCTTTTACGTGCCGTAAAGCTACGACACGGGACCCACGGCTTAAAATCCCTCCCGGAGGACTTGTTCCCTGAATTTTTCCGCCCTTAAAAATTTCACGACCTCCGCCGGGTTTGAACCCGCGTACCTTGAGTCATGAGGTGGGAACGTTACCCCTAGACTACGGAGGCCGCTTATGTTTATCCATAACCAGATTAATCCAATCCATACATCCTCATCCTATTTTTCCAGACCCACTTAAATATCATTGTCCCACATAACGCTAGTAATCAGTTTTTCCAATCATTTTATATTTACATGCCCACTCAACACCCCTAAGGCCAGTTATAACGCAAGCAGGAACAAAGATACAGACAAAAGAAAGACAAAACAAGACAACTTCTAATAATGTGATTAATGCTACTTTACATACACTAATTACTACCAATATTATCACTTACCAATATATTATCTAGAAATCAAACAAGATTAAAAGTGTGCAAGATTCCTTTGAAAGATATTTAGTTAAAACTAATTTTTTTCCTTTCAGAATTAAATGGGGCACGCGGTAGCGTAGTTGGTTGAGACACTATGCTACAAGCCGGAAGGTCGCGGGATCGAATCCCGATGAGGAGGATTTTTTCAATTGACGTAATCCTTCCAGCCGCACTATGGCCCTGGCGTCGACTCAGCCTCTAAAGAAATGAGTACCAGGAATCTTCCTGGGGGGTAAAGGGCGGCCGGCGCATAAGGCTGACAACCTTACTGCCATCTGTGAGCCGATTGTCTAGAGAAAATGTGGGTGCCTTAACATCTCACAACCCTATGGGCCTCCTGGCCTGTTTCTCTACTTTCAGAATTAAGTAATACGCTTAGCAGAACTGCACTAGACCAGACTTCGGTCCCACTTTAACTAATAAGAGAGCCATCTGTGAGCAGGTCTAACAAATTACTTTCAGCTTTTCTGAACATATTCGTATATTGTCAGTGTTAGGTAGAGTGGAGATAATAAGAAAGAATGTTAGCTGATCTTAGAGTTTTATTATGTTTGGAAGTCACTCACTTGCTCCACAGAGAGATAAATACTTCAGCATAGATGTATTTTGAATTCTAAAGATAACTTACAGAAAACTGTCGCAGAGAACAGCTTATCATTGATAAGTTATTTCGCATTCTCCCTAGACAAATGATAGTATATCCCACACTTACCCCACAGCTACCTGTTCCAACTGCATGGAGAAGCTAGCAGTCGCTTAACTACTCAGGAACGTTCCAACATTTTATGGAGTCCGAAAGTTAATTTCCATGTTCACAAGAGCCCTCCAATCTTCCTTGTCCTAAACCAGACAAATCCATCCCATCCCACCACATCTTATCTATCTAGGATCCGTTTTAATATTATACGCCCACGAATGTCTAAGCATGTCTACTGGTCTCTTCCCTTCTGGCTTTCCCACGAAAACACTTTATGCATTTCTATTCCCTTCCATGCGTGCTACATTCCTTGCCGACCTCATCCTCCTTGACTTAATTATTCTGATTATATTTGCCCAAGATTACGTGTTATGAAGCACCTCATTGTGCATTTTCCCCAACCTCATCATTTCATCCCTTTTCGATCCGAATATTATTTTCGACACCCTGTTTTCAAACAACGCCAATCTATTTCCTCCCTTAATGTCAGAGATCAAATTTCACACCCATACAAAGCTACAGACAAAATTATAATTTTGTGCATTTTAAATTTTACGTTTTAGAACGGCGGGCCAGAAGGGAAAATTTTGCTAACTGTTCTACTGAATTATTTATTTCCATCCAGTGCCACACTCTATACACTTCGCAGTTGATCCAGCGCAGTTAAATAACCAAATAGACGTATAAAAGTTCTACAGCCAGATTGTGTTACACTCACCTTACCCAGCTGCCACTGCGTTAGAAGCCTTGCCGCTGCGCGAGCCACGGAAACACCTGCACTGTCTCTCTTCACAACCAGAAACAGACCAGCGATTTCACGACCTAACCCAGAGTTGTTACTATTATAATATATAGCATTTAAATAGATGTGTGAAAGCAACCCTCTACACGTTAGTGTCTGTAACAGTTAAAATACAAGCTGGGAGCCCGATAAGACCCGAAGGTTCCTCCCCTTCTCTGGCCAAAACCCTCCAAACTCAAATTATTGATCCAAAGTCTACTGACGTAGGGGGCGTCTTTGACGTCATACAGCGTCCCGATGCCTCCATTGGTCTATGCCTAAATAACTAGTGGAAGGGGAACTTCAAGGAGGCTACCACTATCGTGTGGGTTGTAGGGGTGATATTCCCCTTCTTTAACTCACATCTCGGTAATGGATATTGTAGGTTACTTTACGCAGAGGGTATGCTGTTGCAAGAACGGTCTATATCCTATGGACACCTACTCAGCGATTGGTTAAAATCGTTTAAGGGGAAATTTTAGATAAACGGTGGGGGATTCTAGTATTACTCCTATGACATTTTCCAACGTCCCCCCTTGTAACGATTTCATTGAATGTTCCCACTGGTGAGGTATGGAGAATTTGGCGTGGGCAAAAGAAATTTTTCTTCCCGCATAAATGCACATGATGATATTCATAAGCTGGTGATTGGTCTCACTCAGATATCTGATTACGCCAAAAATATGTATACATATTGAGATATAAGAAATTAATATTATCCACATAATCCATAAATGTAAAGATATCCCTTGTAACAGGCCCTGGAGGCCCATAGGGTTGTGAGACGTCGAGGCTTCCACATTTTCTATAGACAATCGGCTCACAGATGGCGGTAAGGTAGTCAGCCTTACGCACCGGCTGCCCTTTACCCCCATGAAAATTCCTGGTACTCATTTCTGTTGGACGTTTGTCGACACTAGGTCTACAAGTATAGTGCGACTGGAAGGAATATGAAAATATTAATTGTTCAGTATTACAAGTACCAATCAAGTTTCTGCGACGTTCATTTGGCGTCTGTGAAGTATCCAGAGTATTCAGGTCAACATGGTACAGTGTCAATCCAGATAAACAGAATTGCTAAATCCGCCACGTCCAGTACCGCCTCTAATTCATCATCCACAGTCAAACACGAATCCCTCTCAGGCCTAGCAAATTTATCCCAGCTGCTCTTGCATTCGGTTCTATGTTTCCTCATTATGAGATTTGATTCCGCACGAAATCGCGGAAACTATTCCATTACACTGCAACAATTTAACATATTGTTCACAATATTCTGGGGGTGGGCCCTGCTCCATGCCTTCTTTCTTATTGGTTGTCATTACATAGAAGTTTAGCATACAGTTTTAGTGTTTAGAGATTTCTGCTTTCAATCATGACCCCTGATATAGCGTAGTTGTGTCAGGCACTATGCTACAAGTCGGAAGGTAGCGGGTTTTATTCCCGATGTGTCATTATATTTATCGATTGACTTAATCCTTCCAGCCGCACTATGGCCCTGGTGTCGACTCAGCCTCTAACAGAAATGAGTACCAGAAATATTCGTGGGTGTAAAGGGCTGCCGGCACGTAAGGCTGACATCTTCACCGCCATCTGTGAGCTGGTTGTTTAGAAAAATATGGGACCCTCTACGTGGATCTCCACAAACTGTTAGGAGGAGAGCTTTAATTTCTTTAACTTTATTGATAGTACATTGTTACTAAACTATTTGAAAACGTGAATAGAGGTTGAGTAAAAAAAAGACTTCTGAATACTGCTTATACGTCAGACATTGGACAATGCCGGACACTGCGGTGAATCAGCCATAGACACAAACCTTAGGAAAATGAAATAAGTGATCATAACTAAAAAAGTATCATAAATATTCCTTCTGTAAAAATTTCAACGAGTAAGTGTTTGCACCTTTAAGGCTCTAGACCTGTATTCGATTTAATGAACTATTGTATAACGACACTATTTCCAATGTAGCATCAACGAGTTAGATGAGAACTGATCCACTGATGTGGCTTATAATGCGAAGATGTAAGCTTATGGAATAAATAGTGAGGCACAACGATTAATGAGCAATGATTTGGAAGTGGCCATGACAAAATCGGAGTACTTAATCCTGCACGTTTTGAAAAAAAAAAAAAAACAGGAAAAACCTCAGACAGCATAGCCGATGTCTCAGTCGAGATTCGAACCGAGCTTCTATAGAATTCATGTCCAGAGCGTTGCCGCTAAAACACCCTGCTCGCTGGTAGCTGATCTGTGATGGCGAACAGGGAAACATCTCGAAAAAGGCGATAGTGACCTGTTTCATATTCCTATTACAAAATTAACACAGAAGATTGAGCAGAAAAATGATAAAATTTATTTCTGTAACCAGACAGAAATTCAAACTGGGTACTTCTGATCACTACCGCTCGCTTATAGTTACTGTCCTGTATAATGTCACGTGTAGGAGTGGCAATTAGACGGGGTTTGGATTGGATGAATTGGATTAATTGACTCCTTATACACACCACTCGGAACTGCAAGCAATACAGCGCTATCGCTGATCTACACACTTTACAGTTCACCGTTAAACACACTCAAGGGTTCTCAGTCTTCAGTAGTCTTATCCTGGCAACGGATTTTAACACAGTATTTATAACAATCTCACTGTAACTGCGGCACACAAACATCTTCTTCGCACAGCCTAATTCCTTTCTTGCAATCTCTCCTGAATCATCTTTGACTGCCGTCTCGAGAGACCCCTCAATTATCATTTCAGCTGGCCTGGGGTCCTCGTTATATAGCCTCAGGACGGACCCAACAGAGAACATCCTTTCCATCGTTATAGCCCAACAATATTTCGATTGTTGCTTGCGTACTCTTTGCGGCGAGAACACGTTTACCCATCCCTTGAGTAGCACTGGACGGCTGTTAATTCGTCTATTTCATAGCAACGGCTGTACTGGTTACAATTCATAGGAGTAGATTGTAAAGTGTTCTGACAATGGTGTATCTCTCCTGGAGCTGAACCCTTCTTGAAAAGCCGCCAATTATACAGATACCCAAGAATTTTCCAGCATTTTATGGAACCCAAATGTTCATTATCGTGTTCACAAGCACCCTCCACTGGTCCCTATCCTGAGCCAGATCAATCCAATCCACACCATCCCATCCTATCTTTCTAAGATGCATTGCTTTCTCCAACCTCCTGTCACTTTATCTCTCTCCAGTCCAAATATTCTCAAACACCCTCAGTCTATGTTCCTCCCTTAATGTCAGAGACCAAGTTTCACACCCATACAGAAAAAAAATGTAGGCAAAATTGTAGATTTGTATATTCCGATTTTTCTCTTTTTGGACAGCAGACGTGAAGACAAAGACTCTGGACTGACGACCGTGTATAATACTCAGAATTACTGGGTTTTTAGGACTTTGTCTATCGTCCGGTATTCTAGAAACTGATCGTTGATTGAGGTTAGCTCTTTCTAAGGGACCGAACATAGTCTGTCTCTCCCGCCTTCACTTTTTTTTATTTAATTTGGTTGCTAATTTACAATCTACTCTATTGAAAGCAGAGTAATAAGTAAATGTTCGAGTGTCGACGGAAACAGATCCAGTTTCCTAAACGTTGTGTTTTCTAGTTTCTAGAATACCGACGATTAACAAAGTCAAAAACCACAGTAATTCTGGATGTATACGAGCTATATACATTCTAAAATCAATTATTTATTTTGTTATAGGCTAATAAATTCTCAGTTAAACTAGAATTCGTAACTGATCAATACGTTATGTGAAGTATGGCTTCACTGCTGAAACATCTCTGTGCTAGCTCCTACAACTGTCACACCTCTGACTTTATCAGTAACTGTCACAAGTTTGTACTTACATGAAACAGAATTGCGAAGTCCTGGTTGCAGTGTTATGTGACGCGACACGGATGCCACAGCTGCTGCGTTCCCTTATTCTTGTCATTATGAACAAAGCTAGTGTCTCGTAATGATGAATGACGGCTACAGGCAAAGGCTTTGAACTTTTGCAGCTGAATTGGGCGGTTCTGGCCTTCCATAGAATTGCGCCACACAAATTTATATTCTTTGTATAATTGTCTCTTCTAGTTGGAATTATGATCTTGAATGGGCAGAAGCCTCCACGCACTGGCATGGTCAGAAGAAGAAAATTCCTTGTTACGTTACTGAGATGGTTATTTCAGGATTCAAAGAAATCGACCTATGCCTGTTGCACGATAATACAGATTGTCACGTGATGAGAGTTACATCCGCGTCAGTAAGTGTAGGAAACTAAATGTGTGAGAGTAAAGATTACCGTCATACTTCTTCTTTTCAATGTCGTTTTGCCGTTGATTTTTCGCGCAAGACTAAGGAACGACGCATCAGATTTTGTAAAGACAAGCTAGAGATTAAATTTTTAAGGTATTTAATTATATTAATTGCGGATGACAGGTGCCACCTCGTCTAACACACGAAATTTCTTTTACCGCTCAAACACTGAGCTCGTGATTTCGAACCACCCTCTAGGCATTTAGAGCTGGGATAGCGTAGTCAGTATAGCGACTGGACACGGGCTGGACGACCGAGGGGTTAGAGTTCGAGCCCAAAGAGAATCAAGAATCTTCTCTTCTCCACGTCGTCCAGACCGGTTCTGAGGTCCACCCAACCTCCTATCCAATCGGTACCGGGGGCTCTATCCCTGGGGGTAAAGCGGCCGGAGCGTGAAGCTGATCACTGACCTCCAGCTACTGCCGAGGTAAAGGAAACGTGGATCTATACATCCACTCCCCCATACAACTTCACGGCGTAGTGCTTGAATAGTTGAGCACGGAGACAACTTTACCTTTACCTCACTCAAGGCGATGTCCGTCTGTCTTTCTTCGGTGTTATGTTGTTCTGCGTAGGTAACGAACTTGCCAGGGGTTGATCCGTCTTCCAAGAAATCCTACGGTATATAAGATTCGTAATATTGTAATTAATTCTGAATGAGAACAGACCAGAGAGCCTAAACGATCAAAGAGGTGGAGGAAGAGGAAGAGGAAGAGGAAGAATAAGAAGGAGGGGAAGGGAGGGAGGGGAAACGAAGAAGAAGAATTTATGTGAAAAGTTGAGAGCAGTGAACTTGTGCACTGTGACAAGTCACAAGAAGTCACTTCTGAACTTGTTCTAGTTAGTTACGT